TGACTATGGGAATGAGGCATGCAACAGGTGCCTGAAGTACCATTGCATTGAATTTTTTATTTTCAAAAAAGGTTGTAATAGGTAGAGTAGAGCTTAGTTGAAGTAAACCGAAATATTTACATACGCACATACTAGACCAATTTTTGTTAATTCACTCTCACAGTAGAGGAGAGGGAAAACGAAAATTGCATTTATTTAAAACACTTCAAGAGGCAAAACAAGTTAAGTACAAGTTGTGAAAGTAATAAAGCAATGACTCTGCTTTGGATTAACAATCGGAATGAATTATATTTTTTATCACCATTTTATTTATCAGCATCATCTTCATGATAATATACCCATATATAAGAAGATTTAAGTTAAAAAACCATTTAAATTAATATACCCTGTTCAGGGTATAAAAAGTACCATATCATGTTCGACGGAATGTGCGTATGGAAATACGGATGAATTTAAACAAATCAACATCACTGACTGTAGAAATATCTGGGAAATGGTCGAACACTTTTTTCAATTGACGGGTCAGCGTTATTCTATCGACTCCATATCCACGGGCAGCCGCTCGTATAGCTTTTCTTCAACAAATTGTCTTTAATAGCATCCAGCAATGCATTAAAGTTCATTTCTTTGGAATCGGCAGTCTTTTTTGGTGTTGCGGAGGTTGTTTGTAAGATTGACATGGCCAATAATTAAAATAAATAGGCATGAATGTATTACAAATATTGTAGATTAAAATTACATAAAAAACACTTTGTTTCGATGTATCTAATGATAATTGACAGTTTTGATACAACTCTATCGTGAAATACGGGTGGTTCATAAATCAACCACCGAGATGGTTCACGAACCAGCCATGACGCAATTTTGGAAATCTCAAACGCAAAATAATCACAATCTTAATACGATATGAACCAATATTGGATCGATAAATAGAATCAAAATACTCAACGAATATGCATAACATTTACTTTTTCGGCACAGATTATGTGAACGTATAATATTGGATATACAAGTATTTATAGTTTAGTGCAGAAAAAGTGCAAAATTGGTAAACGAATTACCCCAGCTCCGATATACTACAAATAATAATTTTGTTATTCAAGTTCAATATATGTGGTATTTTATTGAATGTTAAAAACAAAAAATGTGACTTAGAACTTGGTCTAAAGCTCATATCTCTAATCGGGTTTTCTCATATAGGTTATATATTAAAATTAGCCCCTTAAGTTAAGTTTATGCCACATAATTTTCATAAGAGTTTGATTTTAATACTAAACTATAATTTATAATCTTGTGGAGAGCATAAATTAATGATAAATATTCGTTGCAGTTTTCGCATGCATCCTTCTTTTAATAAAACATGCAATTTTCGCAAGTATATATTGTATATATGGTATTTATATTTGTTATATATAGAATATATTATAGAACCGGTGTAAGGATGCACTATACATACGAATTTTTGATAACATGATATTTGAGTATTTATAAAAGGATAAAATTATTGTCTGGAAATAGCAACATATTAATCCAATACTGATTATATTACACGATTTTTATTATGACATTCAAAACCATCTTCAGATTGTTTCCAGTAACTCAAAGAAATATAATGTACAATATTTATCTCAAATTGTATCAAATGAACTATACATTTTATGATGAAAACATGGTTGGCCAAATGAGAACTTATTGCTAGAGGAGATTCTTACGTTTATCTATATACTTCTCTGTTAATTCGTAACTATTTCGATTGAATTAACTGTTAGTAAGTCGAAGTGTAGGCATATTGATACTAGTACACCTGCGGAGTGTAACCACAAGCTTATAAAGTTTACTGAAAAATACCATCGTATTGTGTAATATGCTTTGTGTGCTCATAAAATTACGCACTTTCTCTTTAAAAAAAGAAAAAAAAAATAAATGAGAAAAAATTACTTCCATACAAAAACTTCCACCGTTCAAAAACAGAAGAGGCGATTGAAATGGGCTTATAGATATTTATTTATACATGCCTGTAACAAAAAAATAGTCATCTAACAATTTGGAACCTCTACTGTCAATCAAATTACAATTAGCTGTTCCAAAGCTTTTATGTTTGAAAGGTTATTTTTAGATTTGTTACAAAGATTTATCAAACACCATTTGATATCTATTCGAATAATAAGCTTGCCATCTAATGTAAGGCATAGGTGTGTACGCATAGTTGTCATAAAACTTTAACCTACTCTCTTACTTTATTTAGTTAATATAATAAATACAGTTATATAATGTATAACAGTGTTCTTGTCAACTGAATAGAAGAGTCCCGAAGACATAAATCATATAAAGGAACAAATAGATTATGGTTTTATTATTGATACTTTATGTTACCAGATTCACTGTGACTAATAGAAATTTTAACCTAAAATTTCTAACGGTGTATTTACTAGATTTTAAAGAGTAAAGGTTATAAGCACTTCGTTTATGATTCAAATCTATACAGTATTGAGAAGCAACGCATATACATTTCCTAATATTTGTTCTCATTGACAACATTTGTCTGAATAATAAATTTTAGATAAAAAGTTATTATATGGTCTTCGGACAGCGTTTGCACTTTCATCCATTCATAAAAATACCGGACATACACTTGCTCACGAATGTGTAGAAAACAATACGAAAATTCCAAAAGCCGACGCACCGGTATTGGACCGTTTTTGCACGCTTCTTCAGCGGGTTCATTACCTCTCAACGTGCCACATGCTACAAAGCTACAACAACAACCTAAGTATGTAGTTAGACGAGGCACGTAATTACACATTTACCAATGTAAAGATTTGCGTAATTTCCGTTTTTGGATGTGTGCAGGTTGTGCTCAGTGTTGTATTGTTGCCGTTGATGACCTTTTTGACATTTTCATGTACGTTTTGTTTCTTGTGCTTTGTAACGGGTACAATGACAGCATCATCTTCGACGCTGTCGACACGCTTTGCTTTCTTACCATTTCGATGCTGGCTTTCGCCAGGTAAAATCCAAAGGAAATTGTGCGCCAATTGGGCTTGGCTTTTTTATGTTCAAAATCGGTTGTCGTGTTTGGTTTATATTACAATATATATTATTAACATATGGATGAATTCGTGACTTTTGTGACTTTTGAAATTTAACAGTAATGCTTAATTGACACTAACAAATTTTCAAACATCTACAATCGCATATGAAAAAATGTAAGCACTTTTGTCGCATGAGAAATATTTGTGACTCATTATAGTTAAGATTAAATTACTCGACATTGTTTCTTGTGTGCGGACTTATTTAAGTAAAGCCTATTTACGGATGTGTGAATGTATTTGCAGAAAATATTTTCTAAAAGACAGGAAAACATTCAAACTAGCCAATTAATAATTTTATAAATGCAGTCAAGACCCTAAAACTACTTTTTGAAATATTTTATGATAATTTATGGTAAATGTAAGATCATAGTCATACTTAATAAATGTCTTAAATGTCTTAAGCCCATATAATATTTTCACGGTCCTAAAATATTTAACATTTGGTACGAATTATAACTACTTATGTATGTGTATAAAATGTCGTGGGTTTCTAATTACTCAATAATAGACTTCGCCAGGTTATAAATAGCACAATGACGGTGTGATCTTGATCCAACGACTTATGTCCACATATCTATTTAATTAATTCCTTTTTTTTATTTTCTTAAATTAATTTCGTTACTATCTAAGTTTATACTGACACTTAAATAATATATATATTAAATTTAATTATGGGTAGAATATATATCCCTTAATACGTACCATGCATTTAGGACACCCACTGGGGACTAAAAGCCCCTCACACTATTGTCTCCTATCTGAACCACCCAGTGCTTCTGATGAAGTTCATCAGTACGAAAAGTTATATCTCCGAGTCATCAAGAAACCCTCGACCGATAGTTGCGATTCTTTTCCTATACAAAGAGTTGCATTCGCATAGAAGATCTTTTATAATATCCACTTCTTCTTCCTCCCGACACCTTTTACAAAGGTCGTTATACGGCGTTCCTTCTTTTCTGATATGTCTGCCAACTAGACAGTGACATTTCAATACTCCGACTAGAGTTCTTATATCATTCCTTTTAAATCTTAATAGTCGGCTTGTGCGGCCCATTTTTCATTCATACCACGTTTGCGTCAGGTATCAATTCAATGCCTACAAATTCAATTCTATAGGTTTTCGAAAATCCATGGTGTTGGGTAGAAACGGAAACTTACTAAGTATATATTACTGGTGACTAGTAGGGAGGATTCCCTCAGTCTAGGTCTGACTTTGCTGCCAGTTGTTCACAAAACAAGTCTGTTGGCAGTAAGAGTTAAATAAAAATTAAATTTTCATTTTTTAACTCAAGATGTTTGGGATTATAATTTGAAAATTGATAATATTACTTTTCAATTTGAATAAACGCGAAAAAATGTTAATTCTAAAGCGTAATATTTTGTAATTATTAATTATATGCTTGAGGTTAAAAATTTTCTTTTTTATTTTTCAAACCGGTAGTTGGGATTAATAATTAAAAATTAATTTTTGATCCGGTTTTTGGGATAAACAATTTTTTTTTAATTTTTAATTCGGTGTGTGTGATTAAACAATTTTTTTTTGTTGAATCCTGTATTCAGGATTACAAAATAAAAAAAATTTTGATTAAAATGTTAATTGAATTATTTTTTAATGCATTATTTGCAACCCATGCTGTTAGAAACGGTTTGGTTTTAAGTAAGCAATTTACTTTTCGTTTGCTGTAGGTGACTGTGTTTGAAATGTGTTTCGGTATTTATTTTTTCTTTGTATACAGTCACTTCTCGACACTTATTTAACCAACATTTGTTTCAGGGACATTTGCTTCAGAAACATTCGCCTCAGCAACATTTTATCGCACTATCTTTACAACATTTGTTGCTTTAAGCCGTGCTCTTGCAACATTTTATGCTCAATGTTGCCGATTGTTTTCTCAACTAATTCATGTTGCTTGCAAACCTTGGATTACTGCGTTGCTGCAACGTAGCCTCTACCAAATGCTTGCGGCTGCTTTGCGGTTATCGCGTGACGTTTTCAGGGATGCGCTCGTCATGTCAGTTTGCAACGGTTATTCATTTGGTCAAGACGTTTCTTTCGGTATAATGACTCTACGGCGTGTTTTGTTGAAATTTACTTAGTGACCTAAAGGCTTAAGAGTTACTAAAGTGCTTTATCTATTCTTAGTTTTAGCCATTGAGTGCTCACAACTAAATATTCTCTCAAAAAATAAATCTAATTTAAAACAACAAGTAGACAAAAATACTAGCATACATACTTGTATGTGCGGAAAAGTATTAGCACCACTACTGCCATGATCGTGGTTGAAATGTTAATTGCATATAGTGTTTAAATAAATATTGGAATTGCATCTTTTTTTGGTTTGTTTTCAAGGAATGTTATGAGTGTATTAGTTATATATAAAAACAATTTACAAAGCAGAAAATATAAATCAGTAAAAAGAAATTATTTTTTTAGATTGAGTTGAAAATTTTAATCGAGTGTAGTTTTATTATAATCAGAGGAATGAAAATGATGCCAATAAGCATTTATGCTATGAAAAATTAAAATTTAGAAACTTGTAAAAAACGTTACATAAACTTAGAAAAACAACTTTTCAAAGGACGCTATTTGCCCTTTACCCTTGATTAAGGATAATTAAATTTTTCAATTGAAATATAACAACATGAGCTTGGTAAGTATGGCAACACTTTTCTGTTCGTTACTTCAAAATAATTTTAATTTTGTTTGCTTTTATTTTGAGATAATGTAAAAATGTTGCATAATTATTTTTAAGGGTTTTCATACTTCATACTCATACTACTATTGGATTCCTTTTCTTTTAACTGATAAAAAAGGATATAAATATTTATAGAAGAAAATGTGTTTATAAAATATGTCAAAGTAGTGAAAAGTTGTCAAAGAGTCGACTTTTACTTGAAAGTTTTTTTAAAAGGGGTTCGCCTTCTAAATCAAAATTGTGAAAATAATATATTTTGTTTGATTTGATCCAGATCCTTTTCATACATCAGCAGACTAGCAGACTATTATCAGTTATCTAGAGGCAGGTAATAATAGAAACGGATATTAGTTTTACGCAGTAAGATATAAACAAAACATGTCTATTTGAATTCAACCACATATTTTTAATTCGTGAAATTTCGTTATCACGTTAAACCGGAAAGTCCTTCTTGCTCCTAAGGGACTTTGACTAGTGAATTAAACTTTCTTTTGAACTCAGCCAGTGCAGTAGACCAAATTCCTTCAAGGGACAATTATCTAATTTAAGAATTCGGTAAAGCTTGGCTACACAGGTATGTGGTAATCTTTAAGGATTTGTCTAAGGTTATCGTGGCAATTATTTTTACACAATGCGTCCTTCACCTTTTGTATACCAAATATAACAGCCATCCCCACAAAATAGATTAGGTAATAATATTATATACCATATGCTAGAAATATCCTGAAATTTTTATGATAGAATCAGGATTGTTAGACGATATTCCTATCTCACCGGATTAGTGTATTGGGTTTATATCTAGCTATAACTATAACCATATATAACTTTCAGAGTATTTTTATGGTATTCCATTAAGGTAACTGACTTCGCATCGCGTAATTGTTTTTATTGATTTAACAAAACTATCTTAAAGGGCTGCATATTGATACCCATAATCTTCATTGTATAAAAATTTATTGCCTTAAGTGGAATAAAACTAATTACAACAACTACTTAAAACTGACAAAATTTGTGTGAACTTACTTAAAGTAAACGGCACAGTAAACAAAAGCAAATGGCGATTACTATAAAAGATTACAAAAGAAAAGTTTATGCAAACACTAGTTTCCCATACCGATTAAATTAATTACATTTCAATATATATATATATATTCTCCCACAACTCCTAGGAGGAACACAGGGAATATTTCAATGGTTGAAGACAATTGTGATAAATATAATACAATTAGTTTTATTACCTAAAGAAAAGTCACTATTTATAACATTTTGCTGACAAATGCACTCCCTTGCAAATGTTCACGACTCCTACAAAAAGGCAGGTAAAAGATAGATTTTTATTAGCTTTTTAAATGGAATTATGTAAGTCCGATTCCTGGCATATCTTATTATAAATTTTAAATAAGTTTAATTTGCTCCACTTTTTATTTATGTATTTTCACTTTTCCATTATCATGATAGCTGGATGACATTAAAATTTCAAAACAAAATGTGCAAAATACTTTCCACTGCTTTCATTTACGATATTTAGGCATAAACCAGAAAAAAATAGAAATCGTATACTAAATTATATTTACAGAACCCTCACCGGTAGACTTAAAAAGACATAGAAGATTACCCACACCCAAAATTTTGATTTTTTGCCATAAACTACTTCCACGTCTCACAAATAATATTAGTTTTTGTTTGAGGAAGCGCAAAAAATGGTGTGAGACTTAAAACTTAAAAGAAACTATGTTTAGATACACAAAGGTCAAATAATAAAAACGCATAATGTTGTTATGTTTGCTTAACAAAATAAATATAAATCCATTTGCAGCCTCTTGACATTTGTTTCAAGGCAACGCCGTGGTCATATCCCAACAAGTTCGTTTTTTAAGTCTTTTCTGTTACAGGAGGAAGTACTTGCAAAATCTTCAACAGTAATGTAGGTATATATGTGAATATGAGCTTGAACCAGTGAGAAAGCAGATATTTACCTTGCTTGCTTGACTACCTCTCATGACTGTTGTATCTTAACTGGGTGTTATGTAATATACAATATATAAATACGTCTGCAGGAAAGGATAACTTGCAAAAGGAAAAATATTAAACACACCTACAATACACATAACGGCAGAAGCTGCAAAAAAGACTGTGATGTTGGCAAGCGGACATCAATTCACACATATATAAAAGTCAGTTTAGGATGCACTGACAAACAGCCAGTCAACTATTGCACACACTGAGAAGCTGTGCAGTGGACAAATAGCCAAAAAGAAATTACTTGTATGTGGATACTTACGTGCTGATATGTTACAGACATACACATATTGCATAATAATATTATCTCTCAAACAGTGATGAAGCGTGAATATGTATGCACAATTTTCACTTACAAAAATAAACTGAAAAAGCAAACAAAGTGAAGTGAAATCGGTTAAAACTCCAACACTTAACCCTACAAACAAAAATGCAGTAAATTGAGCGCCAATAAAAAAGTTATGAAAAATGTATAAAAGCAAAAATAACTAAAATTACCATTCAATACGTTGTCTCACGAATGAAAGTGAATTTGCGCACACTATTGAAGATGCTGTTGTTATTATATCATTTATGCGGCTGATGCCATTGACATTGAGCTGCATCAAAAGGTGGCGTAATCCTCCTACTATATGTACATATATGTGTTTGTTGTAAGACTCTTTATTTGTCGGACTTTTTGCATTTTGTGTATGTATGGGTAATAAAATGTGAGGTACAATTAAGACAAAGATGAAAAGCTCAGCGGAGTAAAATTATTAGCTAAATTTAATAAAAGAAGGCCAGAGAAAGAGATTATACACAGATGAAGATTGTGGTAGTTGTTACTTTTTTATCACTTGCAAATAATTAATAATAACCCACCAAGCAACATAATTGAAGAGTCACTACAACAACCACATCAGCCAGAGGTTAATGAGGCTTTTCATTTTGCGATCACAACGATTATTTAACAGTGAATTTATTAACCGTTACACTATTTTCTTAAGAGTTTTTTAATCCCTAAAGGAAAGTTAAAATTTATAATTGGACTTGTCGTTGATTTAGCTGGTCGGCTAGGTTTCATATATTTTTGCATTAAGGGTTGTCATAATATATAGATTTTTATCACATGTTTTCATCGAATTCAAAGTAATGAAGAAGAACTCCTCGAAAAAAAATTTCAGGCACAAAGTTCGACATATTTGAGTGAAAAAAATTATTGATTATTATACACTTCAAATGAATGACATACAAGTATACTGAAAAAGACGCAAACGGAGAGTAGCTTTCCAACCCATGTTCGGGATACTAGAACAGTGAAACAATAATCAAGTTATGTGCTCTTGGCAATAGCATGTATATAAGTATATATTTAATAAACACAATATACTAAGATCAGCAAAAAAACTGAAATCGAAATTATGGGAAATGAACCAGTATTCAGAGAACACAAAATTTTCAGCTTCAGTTTAAAAAATGTCGATAATCTTCAAAGTTTAATAAAAATTTTACAACGTTTCAACAGTGTAGAATAAATTTTTTTACATTACGTATTCCTGTAAAGTACGAATGGCACCTCCTCTGCAGTTTCCACATTATTGTTGGCAAACAAGTAATTACAACAAAAGTCTGCAACAAATACATACAATGCTATCATAAAAAATTGCAAGACTTATCGCTTCATAAAAATTTGAATGCGGTACAAGCTTGCATATATGTATGTACAACGTCGTATCTTTGAATTAGTAAGAGCGTTGTAAGTATTCTTTGAATTGGCCACGTTAAACACTTCGGTGTGTACACTGTTGCGAATAAAAAGGTAAAATACTTCATTGCAACACAGCCGGTTGGATATTTCGAGGCTGGTCCGTCATTTGGACGATGGACATTGAGCACAAAGCAATAGGCTGAAAAGCCCAATAATTCATATTTTTGAGATTTTCGCTTGCAAACACATCGCAACGCGAGACCACGTCCGACACCTCGATCTGCATAACATACAGATTAAGTGTAACCATGTATTGGTTACACTTAAAAAAAATCAAAAAGTATGCGGAAAGGAAATTGTAAAGTGGGTCAAATGCGCTGCATCGTGACGTCAGCCACATAAACAATTATCAACACAGTTTCAATATTTTGCAAATCACATGAAGCCTAGGCAGTTGCTGTTGTTTTAAAATTTTATTTTGATTGCTGTGGCCTTTTCTTAAGTTTTATTGCAATGAAAACCGACATTAATCATATTTAAAAGAGACTGCGAGATGTGTTCCAATGTAATTTTTTTTCTATCAATTAATTTCCTCGACGTTTAAATTAATTGCTGAACCAAAAAACCTCCAAACTTACCTGAACAAACATTGTTACATTTTATAAATTTATTTATATAGTGTGACATCCAATAGAAAAATTACCTCTTTGAGCCGTCGTTAGCTAGCTGCAAATGCTCTCATAAACTTACAAAATCACCTGAAAACTTGTAAATGAGATTTTAATGACACCATACTTGATGCTAGCCTTACATGTGAAGCCCGATAATCCAATTGCTTGTTAATTAAAATCGCATGATATCTGGTTCCACATTACTGGAAACTAAGTGGATTTTATCCGGACAAGTCCTGTCCACCTGTCCTTTTGACGTTTTTGCATGTTAGGTCGTCAACCTTGGGCAACCCTAGCAGCAGGTTTGCTATATATTACATATATACTTATATATACTTCATTTAATTTTTCAATACACGTAATAAATTGTCACACGATAACTTGCGATATATTGCGCAATAAATCTGAATATTTCAACGAAATGTGGAAAATGACAAAACAGGACTGTTATAGGTCACGCTGTTATTTATTGTTGGCACGTACATGGTATTATCTCTTTTTACTTTGACCTCACATTTACTTTATATGATTTATGATTAGTAACGCCCGCGTGATGCCGGGGGCTGTATGAAACA